TTCTGATTAAGCTTTGTCTATCCGTTCGTCCGTCTCAACGATAACTCAATAACTAATTGAGCCAAGTTCACCAATTTTTCACAAATGATTTATTATAGTAAATGCCAGAACCCTATTTAAATTGGATATGATCGGGATATTGGTTCAGGTAGTTGCCATACAACTTCAAAATTTATTTGACTATATTTCAGAAGCAATAAAAGCTGTTAGTATTGAAATTTTACACAAGCGAATAAATTTATTGGGCCAATGTGCTTGACAAAATTTGTTGAAATTACTTGGCTCTTTTTGATAGCTGCTATACAACTTCAAAAGTTTTTTGGCTATATCTTAGAAAATATTAAAAAGATTTACAGTATATGAAGATTTACAGTACTGAATTTTTGCAAAAATTAATATAGTAACTTAAAGTTATAGTCTGTCCCTAAGTCAGCTGTGACATCGGTTCGCACATAGGATAGCAAATTCGTACGGGTATCACAGAGTTGGCACGATCAACTCTATTTTTTCTCGTTTTTTCTTTTATAATTTTGCGCCTATAATTTTTTTTTTACTCGTAAAATTCTCATTATATTTCAATTCTCATAGATTGAAATTTTATTCAATAAATTTTTTAGAATTTTTTTAGAATTTTCTTATTTTTCTATAGATTTTTGATATGCGCAATAAATTAAAACATTGAAATATTTTAAATAGATCTTTAGGTGGTTTCCATATAACTTTTCACTCCTTATTCGATTTTTGGTTTACATCATACTATTTTCTATATATAAAGTAAGAAGTTCAATAAATCTATTTTAAATATAATCTCAGTGTATCAGAGCAATTCAAAAACTTGTTTAAAAACTTATTTATTTACATATTTTTCATAATAAATTTAAAAAAAAAAATAATATTGTAGTGTGAGCTTATTAAGAATTATTAAAATATTTATTTCCAGATGAAAGTTATGAAGCATATGCCTCGAATGTAAAGCAATAACATATTGAACGATGAGTCAGACTATAAATTTAACTCGGCCATATTATTTTATAAATAATTATGCAAATTTCGTATATTATTATGGCAAAATCAATATTAATCATATACAGAATGTAGTTTAGAGTAGTTTAAATATTTCTAAACCTGCGTCAACTTCGACATGAAATCAAAACTGATGAGACTATAATACGCCATTAAATATTATAAATGGATAAAACCTTTTGGAACCAATATACATATATATTGGGATGATATAGCGCAAAATCCAAAAGGTTTTGTACAATACAACCAAAAAAATAACTATCAAATGAGCATAACATTGGATTGCGTGCTTTACTACCAAAAAGAAATAAAATTTTAGATGTTACCTTACTCTTTAACTATTAAAATTTTAAATAAAACTTCTCAATTAAAACTACTATTTTAAATTCATACAACACTTTATAGTTAAAAATCATTCTTTTTCAAAATTTCTCTTAATATTGCGAATATTCTTAGAGAATGCCTAAAATTACTTTTATTACAACTCTCAAACTCACCGCCTATTTCCTTTCCCAATTTTTATCTCTCAACTTTTTTCAATATTATCCAAATATTTAAGACGCATTTCATAACTAAAATATCATTTTAAGATTGAAAACAAGACTATATCTAACCTACGTTTTCTTATGGCTTCTCCTACAACCGTATATAAAGTGTGACATTCAATTTAATTTCAAATTACAAGTTTTTTATTATTTTCATACACGAAATTTTATTTTTTTTTTTCTAAGAAAAAAATTTTACCAATTCGTCGAAATATTTCATACATAATATTCGAATGAAAATTAAAAGACAAAATGAAATTTTATCTCGAAAATATTTTCCTCCCGATTTCCGCCCTTTTTCCCTAAAAAAAAAGAGGAAACTTTAAACAATCAACAATTTTGTCGTCAAAATAACTGCCATAATATAACATTTAAGAAAAACAAAAATATTTTTGATATTAAGTATACACAGAAAAAAAAAATTTTAGATGAAAATAATTTTTCTATTAAGGACTCTTAACCATGTACAAGCACATACATATTTAAAAAAAAAAAAACACACAACAATTTGAATGACAAAAGAGAAAATCATGACATTAACCTTGAAAATTTTTAATATTCTATAATAAAAAACACAAAATTCACAAGAAAAGGATATTTGATGGTATACCGGTACAGGTATGGTAGGTATGTATGTATGTATATAAATGCCTATAGAATATTTTCTATTATAGTATCAAAATTAATTTTCAACACACCTTCTTGAACACAAATTTAAAAATATCTAAATAGTAAAACCAAAATAAGAGACTGGCTGTAAGAATTTGTTTCTCTACATTTGTGCTTTAGTTCGTACCTTCATATATGAATTGTGTGCTATATGTAAAATATATATTTAATTTAAGTTAATTTGAATATTTGAAATTACGTAAAATCTCACATAGATTACGAATAATTTTCAAATTCCAAAAGAAATTCAAGTGCAGATGACGACGATGAATTTCATTTCCTCTATGTAATTTAAATATTTTTTTTCTCTTTAATTTTCATTTCAGGTTTGTTTTTAAGCAGATTAGTTTTTAGGAAATTTAAATTGAAGGGTAAATTAGTAAATTTTTTTTATTTTTTAAAATACATTTAAAAACCAACATTTTATAATTATAGTAACTAATTTAAGATGATTTTAAAATTATATAATAGAATTCTAAATATCTAAAATTTAAGAACTACAGTAATGAACCAAAAAAAAATATTTAAAACAACAAAATAGCATATCTATTCGAAAACTACATACTTAGTTGTGCATAAATTTCGAAAAGGATTTCGAAAGTTGTTTTACAACTACTGCAGAAATATTATAAACTAGAAGAAGAGCATAATAAAAAAATGTTGGACATTAAAGAATTACTCAAGTATATTACAAATCTGCAAAAGTGAAATGTTCAGCTTCTGCAGATTTATAAGTATTTGTGAAAATACTTTTAGTATTTACAACTTTCAGTACATATTTGAATTATCGAAAATCCCCACCAGTATCACTACCATTTTAATTAGATTTCTAATAGTTTACACCTAAACCAAATCTCATTGCCCCTGATTAACTCAAATTCGAATTTTCTACCCACAGTTTAATGGTGCAATTTAATTTTCCAGAGTATTAATATAATTTAATTTTAAAAAGTGTTATTTTTGAATAATAATTAGTTTCGACAAACTTTATGCTATGGTATGAAAGCAATTTTCACACCTTTGTCCCTTTAATTGTCAATATTGAGACAGAAACTATCATGAAGTTATTAAACCCAAATTATTTATAAATTTTAATTATCCCTGTGAAACTTATCTAAATTATATTTAAATTAAACCAAAAAATTCTTTAACTTTAAAATCTTTTAGGTACTTACATTTTTGTAGGATAACCCCTTGTTTCTTATTTATACCATATTTTATATTGTTTGTTGTATCAAGTCGAAAGGATAATCTGCAACGATTAATTTGAATAGCTGTACATCTCTAACACAATCCAACCCTTAAAAATCATAATAAAAATAAAAAATTTAAAATTTGTTTCAAAATATTTGATAAAGAACCCATTACCTTTTCTTATCCAAGTATATACCTATGAAATATTTCTTAGAAAAATGAATTTAAAATTTTCCTTTCTCATAATTTTAACCATTTTTTTTGTTGAGCCTATTTTTTTTTTATTAAATCTTCCGAATAAATACAAATCTCAATAAAATTTAATATTACTTTAAGAATTTTTTTTTTATTAAAGAAGATAAAGATTTAAACAATAGAGAAACTAAATCCAAAAAGTTATTGATTAAATATACAGAGTTTCGATGCAGAGTTCTGTCTGCGTTTTCAATTGTTGTTAAAAAGCTAATTTCGATATTATTAAAATTTGTTACAGGGCACCTCTTAATCAGCCGGTATTGAAAATAATAATATTAAAAAAGTCTTGATAAAGACCCTAAATTAAGCAAGTATTAAGCAAAATGTGTCGGAACACTCTACGATAATTGTTTAGGTAATTTTTTGAAGATCGGTCAGTGCAAAATTGTCGGTCTACAAAAGTAATTCTATTTAAAAAAAGAATTTAAAAAAAAAATTAAAGAAATTTGTTATGCGGCGTATTGTTAGAAAATTTTTCTGAATAATAATATGCTCAGAGCTGCTTTGTTCAGAAAAATTTGCTTCAATTCCGGTCTTATAAAAATTCATTTACTTTGAAAAAATTATTTTCATAAAATAAATTGTATTTTTGAATAAATTGGTATTTTGATTTCAACTCTTAATATGCTCTTTAGAAATTTGTAAGAGCACTTGATATACAATTGATATTTGGTGAGGTGTAAGTATTTATGATAAAAATTTTCCGCAACATTATCAACCACATATTATAAATTTTATATTTACATGCTTTTTATTATAGAATAGACTGATAATATTAATACTTTTATTTTTTATTTAAAATCATTTGGGAATTGTTACGAGACAATCCCTTTATCTTTTTCAAAATTTATAAAAGCGGAATTATGCCTATACAAATATACTATAAACAAACACATATACGTGTATTGGGTAGAAATACAATAAATAGAAATTTCTTTACCACAAATATATTCTCTCCGCTTTGATTTATTACATTTAAGATAAGGATAAAAATAATTTCCTTTTTAAAAGAATTTATTTCAAATATTTCAAGGATAATAAAGTAAAAAATTCAAATCAATTTTTTCTCCAATGAATTCTTTTTGAAATAAAATATTAATTTTAGAATATGGAAGAAATGAAAATTTTGAGAAATAAAATATGAAATTTAAAGTTATTTTTTGCTATTTTTACTCTTCAATATAATTTCCAAAAAAAACCAAAATTTCTATTAAATTTCAAATTAAACAAATCGTGTTAAAGTGAAAATGTATGAAATTCTTTAAAAGAACCTACATAAATATGAAAATATTAAAATGATTCTTGTGCCTCGAATACTTCTTCCGTATTCGATAACAAATGTGGCATAAGCAATATAAAATTAATGAAATACTATTATAGTAAATATTGTAGTTAAATTTTCCATTTTTGAATACCATCTATCTCGAAATTCAAATGGTGAAACTGCAATCCAAATTAGTATCATTGGCAAACATTCAAAATATATCAAAGATTGTGCTCTTTTCTTGATTTGTAAGGTTTTCGCATTTGTAATTGTTTCTTCTAGCAGAACAGTTCAATTTCATTGCGTGTTCCATAGTCCATTAATAATTTCTTTAAAAATTCCATTTCAATGTAATTTCCTATTTAATACCTTTTCTACAGAATATCTTTCGTAAATTCAAAATTTTTCATGAAATACTGCATAGTGTCCATCAAAAACAGTTGATTACATTTGATCGAATCAATTTGAGATTCCGTGGTGAGTATGCCTACTCTGGCATCTCACATCTGTTAACAAAGACGGAATGTATAATTACAAAATATCTTTTTCTTTCATTATAAGAAAGTTGAGAGCAGGCAGCATGAGAAAAATTCATCTTTGTTTAATTGTGTTTTGAAAAAATCTAAAATAATTAAAAATATTATTAAAAAATATAAGAGAAATTGCATACAAAGATTGGGAGATTATTACAAATATTAATATTGTGCTCCTAATTTCTATGTAATATTATGAATCGCATTTAATATTCTGCACTATTACTTTCTAAAATTAAGCAAATTAATGCAATATCAAAAATTATTTAAAAATATTTTTCGTAAATTTCAGATTTTAAATTTTAATTATAGAGCTTATTCTAGCGCTTGATTGTCATAAAGACCTTTTCAATTAAAAATTTGCAATAAAATACAAAAATTTATTAATAAATTACTAGTTTCATAATGTACTAATTAAAAAAAAAAAAAAAAGAAACCAAAAAGCACTTGAAAACTTTTAGTCTTTTATTCACCACACCACTTAAATGTTCAATTATTATAAATCAAAAAACTATACTTCAAGTGTTTAAGAAAATTGCAGAGAATTTCATACTTTAACATCAAATAAAATTTAATGAATTTTTTCATTTTTAATTCTCGTATAAAATTCTCAAAAGATTCCCTGAAACTTTTACATAAAATTTATTTTTTCTTTTTAAGTGGAAAACTTGCAAAAATATTCTAATTTTTTATCTTCATTTAAATTTAATTTTATTATTAGTAATTATTTTTAAAAACTTTTTTCATGCACACTTAATCCTATTATGTGATATTAAAAGATTTTCTACAAGAAATGATAAAAAAAAAGTTCATAATAAAAAACTTTTTTAAAAACTGCTTTTTTTTTCAAATTTTTATGCAAAGCAGAGGTTCAAATTTCAATGAAATTTATTTTAAAGCGCATTTAACATATGTAAGTTCTGTCAGTGAAAGAAACAATCATTTAAAAACTCAAAGAGAAATAAAATCTTTAAGACCAAACCAAATAAAATTAAAATAAAACCAATTGATTTTAAATTATTTCCATAAAACTGTGGCCTGGAAACATTGATCTGAAAGTATAATTGATTATCTTATTAAGAAAAGTTTAATCAAAAATTCTTATTAGACTAGTACTCATCCGTAAGTTGACTTAAATTTCATTACATTATTTTCTACGTTAAAAATTTTATCTTCCTAAAAACTATTCTAGAAATTATATATTAGCCCATGGAAATTTCTACATTTCAAGAAAAAGATATTGAAGGTAATATGTTTGCTTTATGTTTTTTGAACATAACAATATTTCTTCTTTTACACAACAATAGAATTCCTTTGTGAAATCTTTTAATTGAGATTTACAACATCCACCAGGACAAAAACTTCTGTTGTCCATAAATACAAAAAAAAAAAATAAATTTTCAATACATGCATTTATTTTTATTCTATGAAAAATTTTCTATGTTTTCCTTTGAAATTTTCAATGATAAATAAATTTTAAATAAAAAGTTTAAGCATCAAGAGAATATTATGATTTTAAAACTTCAATAAAAATTAAGAAGAAATAATAGAAACTTTTGATAATTGTAATTATTCAAATATCTGAAATCATGTGTTTTAAACTCCCGAAGAATAAAGAGTTCTTAAAGTTTATTTTGCGTAATAATAACTGAGTAACATTTGAAATAAAAATTTTCTTATATTTGAAAATCGTTTAATTTCGTCGAGCCATAAATGTATAAATTGATTATGTGAAATTTAATCGCAAAGGCTTACATTCCTTGACTGTAATACGTAAATTAGTCAACATTGATTCCAAAAATTGATGCAGGTCTTAAAAGAAACTTTTAAAGTTTATATGTATTTTCAGAAAATCATGATGTTTCATCTCGAAATTGCAATGGTCTTTCCAGTGTAATTAAATACTCTCTTGTAAACCATTCCTTTTAATAAAACCTACAAAAAAACATAATTTAATATACATAAATTTCTTATCTTATAATGAATTTAGTTATCCATAAATGTATGTACTCGTATATACATAGGTTTTCATGATAAAGTAGCAAAATCCAATCTTGTTCCGAAATTCTACTAACCTGAATTAATTAGTTGAAAAATTATTTAGTTGAAGATTTTAAATATTTATTATTATTTAAGCACATTCAGTGTTACGTTTCCATATCCTGTTGCTAAAAACCAAATCAGGAATTTTTCAAGTTTTTTGAAGACAAAATTAATCGATAATATTTGCGATAACAATGAAGAAATTCAATTGAAAAAACTTCCTTTTAATATATTCCATTTGCATGGATATACCATGAGAAGAGGAACTTCATAAGCTTGTTCACACGTAACAATCAGAGTAAAACTTATATTTGACCCAAAGTGGTTAAAATTACAACCAATGTATGAGTATAAATAAGAAACAGATCCCATTTTTTTCTGCCTGTTGATTGTTTTTTGAAATTATGAATTTCTTCGTTCTTCTTTTTTCCTTACTTCTTCGACATTGTTATTTTGAGCTGAAAATAGTCAATATAATAAAAATTATTTTAGAGAGCAATTTCTAGAAAAAATTAACAAAAAATTACGCTTAAGATATTTTCCATTTTATGAAAATTTTTTTAATTTTAAGAAAAAATACGTTTTGAACATATTGAATTTCTTTTTACAAACAAAATTTGAATAAAAAATTTTCAATGAAATTTTTATGTAGAAAAATTTTTTGATCGCAGGATTTTTTTTTAAATTTTTTAACAACAAAAATACTATAAATACGAACACAAATTTTTTTACATTAATTGAAGAAAAAATTTTGAAAGAAGCGGACGTGCGGTAAATATTTTCTTTTTTTTGCTTAAAAAAAATTTAAAAATTATTTTTACGATTTATTAACGAATAAATCGTGAAAATAAACATTTTTATTAAAAAAATTTGTAAATTCAAGGGATTTAATCCGCGCTTTTTAGAATTCTTTGAATTTATTAATTTTTGGGCTAAATTTTTTTTTCTTTTTTCTTAATTTTCTTTGTTTTTTTAAAAAAACATTGAAAATTAGTGTGTGAAATTGTGCAAAAAAAAGAAATATAAAAATAAAAAAAAAATCTACATTTTTTATTGTTATATTTCTTTTTTTCTAAAAAATAAAATTTTCTAATTTCTATACGACGTCCAACACAAATTTTTTTTTTCTTAATGTAATGACATTTCTTTACTTACTGTGATTTTTTTTTTAACTTACTAAAATTTTATTTTTTTGACTAAACTGAAATTTATTTTTTCTGTTTTTTTTTTTGACAGAAAATGGACCCAGTGCTTTTGGTAAGTGCTTTGATTTTATTTATCTTTACTTTTTTCTATTATTTTTATAAAATTTTGCGTCAATGCGCGTTTAAGTATCGTTCTGGTGAATATTGTGTTTTTTTATATTTTTTTTATAAAGTTGTGTGTCGTTTTGTGTTTTTATGTTGTGAAAGTGTGCTTAGTTTATATAGACGTGCGCGTATATTCGATCCGTTAGCTGAGATTGAAAATGGAGATCCAAAGAAGGAATATGTAACAATGGATGACGACTCTCAAGCAACCCGATTGAATATAAGGAACATAATTTTGGAAGAATACGAGCCAATCGTTCCCTGTATCGTACTTTATAAGAACACGTCATTCTATTCGGTCTCCAGCGAGGATTCGAATAGGACTTTTATCTGTACGCCTCGCAGCGATAGTTCGGTATTTTTAACGGCCTGTAGCGACACTGGAAGTAGGGATAGTTCTTCATACTACACGGCATGTGGCAGTGAGTCAAGTCTTTTGGCAACCACATTTCAAAGGTCGACAGGATATTTGGAGAGGTCAAGAAGCTACTCCAGCTTCTTTTCAAAACCAAACACCACGACGGAAAATAATGAATGGGGAAGGGAGTTTTTTGACACGGATCGCGCATTTAGCTGGCCAAAATTAATGGCCTATAAATCGAGCACTTTCAGCGGATAAACGGATGTTTTTTTTTTAATATTTTCTATTCGTTTTTTAAATTACGGCTTTAGTTTTTGTTGCTTTGTTATAAAAAAAATTTCAAAAAAAAAATTTAAAAAAAATTAAAAAAAAATAAAAAAAAAATTTAAAAAAAGATAAAAAAAAATTGATAGTAATAATAATAATAAAAAATTTTTGAAAACTCCCTCGCGTGCGGGTCGGGGAGGGGTGGTTGGCCGTGGGAACTTATTATTATTATTACTGTTTTTTTTTGCTGCGTTATTGCTTTACTTATGGTTGCTTTTGCTTCAAAAAAAATTTTAAAAAATTTAAAAAAAAATTATAAAAATAATTAAAAAAAAATTGTAAAAAAATTATTTAAAAAAATTATTTATAGTAATAATAATAATAAAAAATTTTTGAAGCCTCCCTCGCGTGCGGGTTGGGGAGGGGTGGTTGGCCGTGGGAACTTATTATTATTATTACTGTTTTTTTGCTGCGTTATTGCTTTACTTATGGTTGCTTTTGCTTCAAAAAAAATTTTAAAAAATTTAAAAAAAAATTATAAAAATAATTAAAAAAAAATTGTAAAAAAATTATTTAAAAAAATTATTTATAGTAATAATAATAATAAAAAATTTTTGAAGCCTCCCTCGCGTGCGGGTTGGGGAGGGGTGGTTGGCCGTGGGAACTTATTATTATTATTACTGTTTTTTTTCTGCGTTATTGCTTTACTTATGTTCCTTTTGCTTCAAAAAAAATTTAAAAAAAAATTTAAAAAAAAATTATAAAAATAATTAAAAAAAAATTGTAAAAAAATTATTAAAAAAAATTATTTATAGTAATAATAATAATAAAAAATTTTTGAAGCCTCCCCCGCGTGCGGGTTGGGGAGGGGTGGTTGGCCGTGGGAACTTATTATTATTATTACTGTTTTTTTGCTGCGTTATTGCTTTACTTATGGTTGCTTTTGCTTCAAAAAAAATTTTAAAAAATTTAAAAAAAAATTATAAAAATAATTAAAAAAAAATTGTAAAAAAATTATTTAAAAAAATTATTTATAGTAATAATAATAATAAAAAATTTTTGAAGCCTCCCTCGCGTGCGGGTTGGGGAGGGGTGGTTGGCCGTGGGAACTTATTATTATTATTACTGTTTTTTTTCTGCGTTATTGCTTTACTTATGTTCCTTTTGCTTCAAAAAAAATTTAAAAAAAAATTTAAAAAAAAATTATAAAAATAATTAAAAAAAAATTGTAAAAAAATTATTAAAAAAAATTATTTATAGTAATAATAATAATAAAAAATTTTTGAAGCCTCCCTCGCGTGCGGGTTGGGGAGGGGTGGTTGGCCGTGGGAACTTATTATTATTATTACTGTTTTTTTTTTGCCTTATTGCTTTAATTATTTTTTCTTTTTGCTTCAAAAAAAAATTGAAAAAAATTAAAAAAAAAAATTAAAAAAAGTTTAAAAAAAACGAGAAAAATAAGAAAAAGTTGACCGTGTCAACTCTGTGATACCCGTACGAATTTGTTATCCTATGTGCGAGTAAATATGCCATAGCCGACTATGGGAGACTATGACTTTAAGTTGCCGTATTACCATATTACTCGTAATTTATGCAAAATTTCAGTACTGTGTTTTCAAATTTTCTAAGATATGGCCAAACTGCTATTGAAGTTTTATGGCTGCTACCACAACGAGTCAAGAAATTTCAATGATTTTTGTCACACAAAACAGCCCTAATAATACAGTTTTGACGAAATTTCTATGCTATAATTCCAATAATTTTTGAGATAATGCCAAATAAGTTTTGCAATTGTATGGCTACTACCAGAAAGAACTAAGCAATTTCAACATTTATCAAACATTGGCCCTACTATAATATATTTGCTAGTATAAAATTTCAATATCACAACTTTTACAGTTTCTGAGATATAGCCAAATAACTTTTGAAGTTGTATTCCAGAAGGAGCCAAGCAATTTCAACGACTTTTATCAAACACATTGACCCTACTATTACATATAATTGTACGAAATTTAAATTCCACAACTTCCATAGTTTCCAAGATATAGTCAAATAAATTTTAAAGTTGTATGGCAGCTACCCGAACCAGTACAATTTAAATGGGGTTCTGGCACTTATTGGTGAAATTGTGAACTTAACTCAATTAGTCTTTTAACGTTACAAACGATAAAGCAAATTTAGTATATCCTTCGAACATACGTTCTTACGGGTATAATTATTTATAGTAGTAATAATATTAATAATAAAATATTTGAAGTCTCCCTCGCGTGGGGGTTAGAGAGGAAAACTTATTATAATTATGTATACTGTTTTTTATGAGTAACTGTTTTATTATTTATTGCTTTTGTTTAAGAGAAAATATTAACAATAGTTAAACATTTTTAATGGCCTGCGGCTATAAAAATCCGGGAAGGGTTAGCCAGTAATTAATTTTACAAAAAAAAATTGCGATTAAATAATCTATTAAAAATAATTTGTAAAATAAAAAGTAATTGCGATTAGTAGTAGATCATACAGTAACAGCAAAAATTTTTTGGACACCTTCTTCTATGAATATCAGATGTAACTAGCCCTGTAGAAGTGCTGGAATTAAGACTTGTGTTGACCTTTTTAAGGAGCATGGTTTATTGTAGGAATAAAAAATCTTAAATAAAGAATTGAAAATAAAAGTTCATTTGTCAAATAAGGTCATTTATTTAATTTCTTATTGACGTAAAATCTTAGCAAATAATAATATTATGGTTTTTTGAATGATTTTTCATTAAAAAAGCAGCTATATTGCTAACCTACACACAATTCATTTAATTTTTGTCTACATTTTCTTAACGTTGCAATTATTAAAAGATGTTGAAATGGAAGCCAATTTAAAACCGGGGAACTATAAATTGAATTTCAGTTTTCGAGACCTCTATTACGAGTAATTATATTGAATAATATTATGTAAGCACTTGATTGAAATATTTAATTTTATTAATTAATCTTGCGAATAATGGCTCTTAAAAAAATCTGCTTTTTGATGTAGATCTAATAGAATTGTTTTAACAATAATTGAGTTCTCGGGCAAAATTCAACCTTGACATTAGGCCTACATTTTTCACAGATTTACACATTTTTGCTGCAAAATATTGATTTAAAATCAGAATTTTTTTGATTAGAATTTAATTAGGTAATCATACATATAAAGAACCCTCTTTAAAGATAGATACAAAACCATTGAAATATAATGAAATACTTTAAGATTATCAAAATATTTTAGTAAGAGAGGTTCTAACCACATAGAACGTAAAAATTCAAAATAATTGTGCGTTTCCACTCGTAAATTTCTGCGTTTTTCAAGGATATATTGAAATTTCATGATAAGAAATTCAACAACTTGTTCGCTTTTAGCACTTTTTCAAAAAAATTTTAAAAAAATTTGCTTACTAGTTTCACTCTACCCGTCCGCCCGTTCGTCATTCCATGAATATGTCCGCAAAATTTTTACAGCCTTGAAGATCGAATGCTGAAATTTCATATGTACATAAATCTGTGTTAAGAACTTTCTTCCATAGAAAATGTTTACTTATCTAGACTCCCCCCGGAAAAGCCATGCTAACCAAAAATGAAATTATTTACCTTATTTATTAAATTCGAGCATTATGTTAACGGCTCTCTCAACTTTTTTTGTTTTTGTCTCATTCTACATGTATGCAATCTTTAAAATATTTTGGTAAATGAATGAAAGTATTTTAAGTAATGCTGCTAGTAAGTAGATTTTTTTTAAAAGACCCAATTTTATTCTTTGTAAAATTTAGGTTTCACTTTAGTTCATAGAACTCTTATCACAACATTATCTGTTTTACCTAAAAAAAAATAATAATTTCTGATTCAGGCGTTAATAAAAATTTTAAATAGTAAATATCTTTCTAAGTTTACTTAAATACAATAATTAAGCGTAGTAAGTAATCGACAGAACTGTCAGCTTGCTTATCAATTAAATTAGTGAAACTATTTAAATATATATATATGCATATAAATAAATTTTCAAAAACTTGATTTTAAACAACTGAAATCCAGACACTATAAATTGCTTAATTTAATCTTCAAACTAAGAAATCAACACGGAGTAGGTAACTGCGCGGTTTTTTGATTTTGAATTCTTCATGAAAACATAACTTCTGTTACATTTCAATACAAACGCTACAAATGTTACATTTCAAAGCGGAAGCTACAGTAACACATGTATGTGTATGTATTTTAAAATCTACAAAATTAAAGCTCAGCCATCATTTTCTAGAACAGCCTTATCTTAATTTAAAAAAACAATTTTATTTTTACCAAACAATTTCACCGTGTGTTTGAAAAACATTAAAAAACATTGAAACACTAAAAATTTGTATTATTTTGAATTACAACTTTATTATTTTGCTGGGTATTTTCAAAACTTATAAAATAAATTATTGAAAATTTTACATTTTTCTTTCAGAAACCATATTGTAAAAATAAATTACTTGTTTTTATACACAAACACAACTGGTTTCAAAACATAAACCATAATCATAACCTTTTATATGGCAGTCATATGTGCATTGTGGCTCAACACAACTCCGTGGTTCAGGTCGATAAGTAGCAGAACCAGCTATCATATTAAACTCTATTTTAGAAAAATTCAAATTTATTTAAAATATTTGGATTTTTGCTTTTATAATTGAAAAATGTATATATTTTATTTACCATTTGCTCCATAAATTGATGCAGCTTGAATTTCAACTACTGAAAAAGCAATTAAAATAGTTAAAGCTACAGTTAAATAACCGAATAGAACTTTGAAAGAAAACATTTTTTAAGCTTTATAAAAAAGTTGTAATTCTTAATTTTGGGTATAACTCTTAGTTACAATAGGAGACGATTTACAAAATACCCAAGGTATTTATACTGGTTTTCAAAAGACTCAGAAAGAAAACAAAATAAAATAAGATAAGATAACAAAATTATAATTCATAGACAATTAACTTTTATAATTAAAAATTAGCACCTATACTGACGTACTTAAGTTAAAGCTAATCTTAATTTTAACTTGTAAAAAACAATCTTAGTAAGAGTTTATAGAACTCAACAATAAGTATTATGGTATATATTGAATTTCGACTGCTTTACACAATTCAAAATTTGAAATTATGATTTTAATTGTATATTAACTATCTACATACATGTATACATATCTACGAATACTATATAACCCTGAATTGCATAAAACGAATTTCACAAGTAGTATTAAAAAGTTTGACCTTACTTAAAGAGGAGTATGAGTAGGAATACAATTGTAATAAATACTTGTTATTGTACTCCATGATAATTTTCAAAATGACGATGCAAAATCACAAATGTTTTCTTGGTAATTTGTATGTCTTAAAGAGCAACACACAATGCATATGTGCTCCGTCTATTTACGTATGTATGTATTTTACGTATAACATTTTTGGTTATCAAATAATTAAAATTAACGGAAAAAACCGCAAAAAAAGACTTTGATTTGTGTATATTAAATTCAAATCTTACCTTATTATTTTCATCTTAGCTGATAAAGTTGATTGTATTCCATATTACTAGGTCGAAATTTGTGCACAAAATCCTTGACATAGCAAAAATATCGACCTGAACTCTTCTTTTTTTTAGTTAAGTTGTTATTTTTCCTTTGTAGCAAACCCAACCTTTTAATATAAAAATAAAAATCTTTTAATAATTACTTTCAGTCCCGTTATCTATATATGTATGTAATTCAGGAGCGCATTTACAATTTTCTTTAGAAGTTAAAAGTACGTAGTTCTTGACCTTTGATTGATTCACCTTATTTTTTTTTTTGTATTCTATTTTCGAGTTTTAAAATTTTTGGAAATAAAGCTAGAATCAAAATTTTCAAGTTTCAGTTTTTATTCACTTTGATAGGCTGGGAATGATCCTCAATCTTTTAAAAAAATTTTGCACCATTTTCGTAGTGTAAAAATTTATATTTCCTTAAAAATTTGAATTTTATAATTGCTGTATTATTTTGACAGCTTTCAGATTTCATTTTAAAAAGAAGCTTTCCAACTTTCTTCATCCAAACTAACTATGTTATATGTGCACATAATTTTACAATATACAAAGAAAAATTTAAGCGAATTTGGCTAACATAAAAACACAGAGACATCTACAATATTTTCATTGTATTATGAAAACTATTTTGGAAAATTATCATATTTTTTTAAAATTAACTAAGCTTTAAATTTACAATCCAAAAAAAGCTTTAAATATTTTTCGCTCAGCTTTTGTGGAACGAACAATAATTATGCATGTGGTGTGGTGATAAAAAGCTAAAACATTGCTTAAGATTTCAGTACAATAGGGTTTGTAAGATTTTTTATCTTCCAAAAACTTTGATATGAAAATAACTGTACTAAGTAACTGTAAATAAGTATTATTAAAGCCACAAACCAAAAATAAAAATTAATACATTGGTGCCTCTTTGGCTTTCCTATTTTTTATTTGCTTTTTCCTGTTTGCTAATTTTTGTACAAATTACATGCATGTTGGCCAATTGTTTATTTTAATATATTATTTGAATATATTTTATTTTAATTCTGCTCTGCCAATCTTTTCAGATGATGAAACAAAGTTCTGTGATAGTAAATCAACCAATAGTATCGAATCTCGAGAATACAACACAGTAAATTATATACCCAACAATTCATAAGAATTTTGAGCAAATTTTACAGAACGACTTAAGAGTGAAACATTTACATACATACATATATCATACATACATTTATAATAGTGCTAGAATATCTAATAAGATACTATACCTAAGAAAATTTAATTTTGATTTTATAACCATAACATAATATGACTCATACGGAATTTCGTTTTTATATGGGTTCATGTACACATGTGTGTATGCATACTCGTATATGTAGGAAGTTGCGATTTATGTTAATGTTCTGAAAAATTTTGATAACAAACACGCGTTCTGCTCCTTATCTTCTCAAAAATAATAAATTTATTCAGTGTTATCGTACTTTATCTACCACAATTCGAAGAATATTGTACTAATCAGCTTTTCTAATATTAATTAATAAATAAGAGAAAAATAATATTTTGTTATTATCTTTCAATGGTTTCGGCTGAGACTTAATTTTAGAAAGAGCACTACTTATTTATTTATACCTACTCTGACATGTTAACAAATTCAATAGAAAATTATGGGGTAAATTTTTAAAATTTCTTCTAGTTCCCTTTTAACAAAATTGCTTAAAATTTTTCAAAGTTTAAGAAAACTTTCTGCTGGACTATAATTGTAGCTTTTATTGGAACTCTAGATTCATAGCTTTATAAAATAAATTAATTTTTTTGTAAATTGTCATAAAAATGAGATTTATTACGTTAAAAATCTAAGGCATAAGGTGAGTTTATAATATATATCAGTCACTTAATTCATTATAGCTCTTTTTTTTAAGTGCTCACTTATATAAATGTTGTTAGAACTAACCAATTTTAAAATTCAACCCCAAAGAGTTTAAACTTATATTTTTATTTTCTAATAGTATAAAGAACGAAAAAATGCCATCTTTTTCATTTAGCTTGAAAACCTTATAAAAGATAGTTATTTTTTTGATCTTAATTGTTTAAAGGTATACAACATTGTTTTGAGAAATTAACATAAACATTTTCAATATTACAATTTACGTATGTATAATTATTATCTATAAGCAAATAAATTTCTAAAGAAAAGCTGTTAAAATAGAAAATATGTTTTTCTATGAAAATTCATTATCTTAAAGTATTGCGATATCTTCCATATTTTGTTCAATAATAATATAAAAGCTGAAAATTTTTTTTAAAAAAATCATTCATTTTATTCAGTTCGAGAAAAACGAATTCTATTTCAAATCCAAAAAAAAAAAATTACCTACAATAAAAATGCAATTAACAAAATTATTTTTCATTTTTGCTTTAATCTTCGCTGCATTTGTCACTGCTGAAGGTATGATTTTTCCACTTTATTGACTATTTTATATTCCTGTTTTCAATATAAAAATTTTAATATTATAGTAAAAGCAGAACAATGCCACCCTGGACGGCATATCAGTTGTAACCAAGGTTGTTTAATGGCTGGACAACGAGGTGGCTATTGTGTTGAAGTTCCTCCAAATAGCTGGTCCTGTAAATGTGTATAAAATCAGTCAATATACATAATAAAAATAAATGGGTAAAATATTGGGAATGGAAACGTAAAAATCGAATTTTAATTGTATGATATTATATGATATTGTATGATATTTTGTGCATATAAAATTACTAAATAAAATACAATGTCAGATACGTTTAAATAATCAGAATATGTATTTAATTTTTATAATTCGTTTAAGCTTCATAAGTTTAAAAATATTAATTTTGAAACTCACTGCAATATGCTTGTAATTACAATTATTTCATACCTAATCATTTCAAGACTCCTTCGCACGGATCTGATAATGGTAAGCTTTATAGGAATATTTTCGTATAATGAAGATTTAATTTTATTTTACTGCTTCCTGTTATTTATATGTAAATACGAATAGAAAATTTAGTTAACAGATTTTTTTACAATCATTTTCCATTTGATAACGTGCCTTGTTTATAAATTCTTTCTTGACTTTATATATTCTTGACCAAGGAAAATAACAGTTAGGTAAATAAATTTAGATTTACTCTCCTAGATACGGTCAGAACCGCAACTGAAGAATGCCAACGACATTTTTTAACGAATTAAAATTTTTATGGCTTTCAGAATCAGTTTACTTACTATAAATATTCATTACATGTAGACATAATATATCGTAAATTAATATTTTTGCTGTTACAGCTTACCACTAAAATATCATTAAATACTAAAATGAGATTAAAACTTCATAAAATTTTGATTATAATTTGAATTTGCATAACAATGTTGGCGTCAACAGGAATATTGCAATTGCTTTATTTAACTAAGAGCTTAACTACCTTTATTACTCAGAAGCTTCCTAATTAACAGTAAGAATTGTTTTTCAATATACAAACAAAATAATGAAATTTACATAGTTTTTTTAGAAATTTATCAAATGTGTACATATGTATGTATGTCACTATTATTATAACAATCGAAATTTAAATTTTTTTCAATTTTCATTAACTTTGTTTTCCCACAAAAACTTCGTTGCAAAAACTTTTCGTCTTAAAATACTATATGTTTTGTTGATTATTGACACATTGTACATTTATCGCTGACTGCTTTGAATCTAATATGACTATTTACATTATTAATTATTTAAAACAAAAAAACTCTTATATTAAAGCAAAAGTAGTTGTATGTCGTGTTACATCGGTGGTAATAAAATATTTTTACATTAACACTTCCCTGTGTAGATTTTGTGAGAACGGTGACAAAACCACCGTGCACATCCCTGCCTGGCACTTGCTGTCCGGCTTCATAATTGTTTTGGACAGGGTTTTCTTAACATTCAGGAACTGTTGTCCAACTCATTTCGGAATATCTCCAGCTTATACTTGGGACGGGGATATTATAGATGGGAGCGTGGGAAGGCTACAATAAATCAGGAATGCCTGCGGTGGCTCGAGGGATTCTTCTACCCCACTGGGGTTCCTTAAAATTTACAAATCTACAAATTTACATTAACACTTACTATACGTAAGTTTTGTGACATATCGTATTTTCCGAGTCACTCTATTTTTCTTATGTGCCAATGTATTGTAATAATTTTGATAATTATTATATTTATGTTTGTTAGCATAAAAGTAATTTTATCGCAACAATACTCCTATACATATGTATATCCGCATTGCTCAGAAATTAATATAAAACCTGAAAAATAGTTGAAAAAGATTCATTAACTTAGTTATGTTCGAGAAAACATATTTAATTTCAAATACCAAAAAAATGCATTTAACAAAATTAATTTTCATTTTTGTTTTAATGCTTGTTGCATTTATCACAGCTGAAGGTAAGATATACTGGTGAATATATTAATTTTTTCTACATAAATATTAATATTTCTCTCTTTTAAAAATTATATGTGTTATATTTAAGTAAGAGCAGATCAATGCCACCCTAGGCGGCACATGCACTGTTACAAAGGTTGTTTGATGGCTGGACAACGGGGTGGCAGATGTGTTGAAGTTTCTCCAGACAGCTGGTCTTGCAAATGTGTCTAAAAAATAGTCAACAATTAAAAATCAGGCATAAATGGTTGCATATATATACATATATAATATATATTTTTTGAGGTTTTTATTAAATTTATATACAGCATTAAAAATTTTTAAGTCTGAATTTTGAATTTTATCCTCATATAACTTGTTAATTTATTATTAAAAATTTACAAAATCGTAAGTTCTTGTTTAACCTTTTATTCATTTCTTAGATATTGCTCTTCAAAGACTAGTCACTATGATGTAAAAGGACATAATTTAAACAGATTGCAGTTTTCAGTACCACAGCAACTATACACTTTTATAATTTGCACAATACTTTACAAATGCTTTAACGTAAAATTTATCAAAACGGACCAGTTTCTGTCCCAGCTATAAACATAACTTCCCAATAACAAACTTATATGTATTATACTTGCCTTCAATATGTTAGTATGCATGTAATTACTATAATAATTGTTATAAATATTGCAATGCGTTGTGTATCGTAAATACGCGTGTCATAAGACTTTATATTTTCAGAATTTGAATAGAGTGATTTATTATTTGGCAAATAAAAAGTTTATAAAGTTTTGTTTATTATGGTCTTTACAATTTGCGTGATTTCTAAAATTAAAAAATTATTTTTTGTATTTAAATAAAAGTTTAAATTAATTGGGTGAATCTTGTCACAAATATGGTGTAGTTTTGTATAACAATTAATTTTATTGACTTAATATTTTTTATTAAATTTTACAGATTATTTCAAAATAAGGCTAAATAGAAAAAACGTAATAAAGTATAATACGAGCGTGCAAATGTCAATAAAGTGAAAATATGTTTGTTAAAAATTTTGTTTCAATGAAAAGAATTGGCAAATTTCTTTAGAAATGATTAATAAATTCGAAAAATTTTCTACATTTGTATAAAATTTTTTCTTTACCTGATTTTGTTTTGTATTGTGTGTGGCCTTAGTATAATTAATTATTTTTCATATATAACATTGTATGCTCGCAATAAAATAATGATTGAAGTTTTGGAAAAACCCAAAAAGTTTTGTGTATATAAAATTTTAAAAGGACCTATAAATTAACTATTAATTAGAAAATAAATTTTTAATTACGTAATATAATGCAATTAATATATTCTATTTGATGAGTAAAATCTGAATATTTAAAACAATTCTTTAAATTTTAATTATAAAAATTTCTTTCGAATTTTCGGTAAAAATTACATGAAGCCGTGTTTGTTTACTTAAACAGCAAGCAGCAAAACCATATGCAAAAAATTTCAAATTGTTTCAAATTTTTCGTATTCAAAATTTCTTATTTTTAATATATTCCTTAAATGAAAAAAAAATAAAATATTTCATAAGATCTAAGTCAAAGTGGTAAAGCAGAAACTTACCATTTCTTTTAAAATGCACTTAAAATGCCATTTTTCATTATTATTTTCTTCTTCAATCCAAAATGGTTTCAAGAAATCTTTCCATCCAGTTAATTTTAGCATGTCACAAGGAGAATTATCATTTTTGATTAATTTTATGTAGTTTGGAAAAATTTTTTGTGATTTTAAAATAGCAGAAAAATAATTTGCTTTCTCACTATTTTTTACATCTTTTAATTCTTTAAAAATTGTCATTGCTTGATTTAATGATTCCTCAGCCAACTCAAAAGTATCATTATTTTTAGCATATATTTTTGTAATTTCAACTAGAGCTAAACCCTTCTGATTCAATAAATTATTTGCTTGCGCTAATTGTATAACATGATTCAATCTACTTAATGCTCGAGATAAATTGTTTAACCTTAAAAGTATGTACATATAATTAAATTAAGCTAAATTAAATTAAAAATTAAACTTACCCAAAATAACATATGCCTTGTAGTAAAAATAATTCACATTCATAAAGAGCATCTCCTGTAGCAAAGATAACTTTTTCGATATTTGTAAGAATTTCTAAAGCTTCTGAATATTCTAATTTTTTAATTAAGAATTGACAATGTCGCAAATTAATTTTAATGTATAAAGTTTGCTCACGGCTTTCATTATCTAAAATACCACAATATTAAAATAGTTAAAAATGTATTTTACAAATAATATTTTCTTATAGCTAACCTAAAAAATCAATTAAACAAAGTATTGCCGCCTGTGTTAAATTTAAAGCTATTGCCAAATTTTTGTGGTAATTTTTATTTGCTTCGGCCAAATATGATTGAGCCAAACAGTAACAGCTATCCTTATGCAAATAATCAAATAATTTTCCTGTGGTAAGGAATGTTATTTCTTTTGACATCTTTTTGGCAATTTCTAATTGCTCTATAGCATCTTCGAATGAAAATACTTAAAAATATTGATAAAATAATTTTATTACTTTTTTTATTTAAATATAAATTTCATATTTATTATTCTTACACCTTTCTAAACAAAATCTCCCGTAACGTAATCTCAATTTTGTTTCTTGTTCATCATTTGATAATTCTTTATGTTTTGTTTGTAATTCAAGAGCGATTTGAAAGCATTCTTTCGATAACCATTTATTATCGGTAAAATTGGATTCAATTAAATCTGACAATTGATAAATTATGTTTAAACAGTTAATTAAATCACGATTAACATGCAACTCATCATTGGCATCATGAAAGTTTTTTGCCAAAATATTTAACAAATCATTATTTTCACTAAATTTCTTCGATATCTTTCCATTTGAATATAAATATTTTTCTTTATCCAATAATATTTCGAAATAATTAGCAAATTCAATACAATTATCTTCATATAATTCTTTTATTAAAGCTTCATGAAATGGTATTCTTGCTCGACGTACATCTCGATATCCAATTTTTTCAATTTTATTTTTGATTTCTTTACGAATTTTTGGTAATTCTTTTGATGACATCCATAGGCCACGATGTGGTGTATATTTATATTTTTGAAATTTTAATGAATTCAACATTTTAGTTAGTACATTTGGTTAAATTTGTGTTAAATTGTTCCAGAGCGTAAAATTTCTATTGTTTTAATTGTTAAACATAACATATGTACATATGTATATTTGTATTAAATTCTAAAATTATAGACCTATGATTTTTATTTGAAAAAATATAATTATTTTATTATAAATTCTAAGATTCTAAGATTAATATAATTTACTTGTTTTTAAATTCAAATT